GGTGACGGCTGCTTCAAAACAGAACAGAAGTACTGCCACAAAGACAGAATGAAGACCTGTGAAAATCACCCTGCCTGAAGGCAATGCTGACAAAACTGGCACGGTCAGTACTTCTAGAAGTGCAAAGCAAGCACAGGCTGTAACAGCCCAATGAGCACTTGCACAGGCAGAACTGCGGAGTCCCAGCAGGAGACTCCATTTTCCCCAGCCCCTTCCCACCTACCTGGCTCTGCAGCAGCTTTGAAAACCAGCAGCCTTGTAACACTTAGGAGAGCAGAAAAGCTTGCCAAAAGCCAGTCCCCAGAAGGCTGTCACTGTTTGACCTTTCTGCAGCTCTGTGAAAAGCTCAAGTTTTGTTTTTATTCCACCAGACACAGAGCTCACTCTGTGCAAACAGTCCTATTACCAGGGAGCCTAACTGAGGAATGAATAAAAAAGATGTGGTATTTTTATCCAGTGGAGTACTACTCAGCTATAAATATAAACCCGAGGCTTTTATAAGTAAATGGATGCAACTGGAGACCATATGCATAAGTGAAATAAATCATAGTCTCCCTAATGTAAGAAACTAAAAGAGTAAATAAGATCCAAAAAGTACAACAGATATTGTCAAAGAGAAAGAAACTGCTCAAAAGGAAGGAACAACTGGGATGAGGGAAAGGAGAAAAGAAGGGAGAAAAATTTGTATTTATAAATATATAGAGACACACACATACACACAAAGATAGCTAAGATAATTACTACTCATTCTGTTAGTTAATTGAAAGCAACAGTTAATGCTTATATTGTTTAATCAGATTTGCATGCCTGTATCTGGTAATCTGAGCAAATATTTTGAAGCCAACAATATGCAATATAATACCCATTGTTAATTTCCTATCATCTTACTTTTGAAATTCTGTATCATTTTCATTGGGGTTTTTTTTTAATTCTTTTTTTAAAAAAGCAATCAGCGGGGCTGGGGATTTAGCTCAGCGGCATAAGCACCTGCCTTGCAAGCAGGAGGTCGTGAGTTCGATCCCTGGTACCGGTAAAAATGAAAAAGACAAAAAAAAAAAAAAATTATAAAAAAAAAAAAAAAAAGCAATCAGCAACAAAGGTATATAATCACAGGGGCCTAAAACAGCGATACCAAATGGGGCACAAATTGAGCCCCCAAAAAGGAAAAACTGGGAAACAAGACATTCAAATAAAATTTTGACATATTCTTAGAAACTAAAAGGCTATTCAAATGTGTAAGGCTATGGTCATGCTCAGAAAGATCTAAGAAAACTATAAACTTTTACTTCTGGCTGCCACTGAAGCTCTATGCAGGAATGCAGTAAAGACTAAAGTAAATACGGTACCAGAGCTCTGGGAGCTCACCCCAACACACACACAGGAAATCTCTCCACAGAGGCTGAGAGACTTACTGAACCAAGGCATTTAAGGAAACTTTAAATAAGAATACTCAAGTAATTTTTTTTTTTTTTTTTTGCGATACTGGAGATCGAACACACAACCTTGCCAGGCAGGCACTTATGCCACTGAGATAAATCCCCAGCTCTGGTTTTTTTTTTTTTGTTTTTTTTTTTTTTTGTACCAGGAATTGAACTCACAACCACACACTTGCAAGGCAGGCACTTATGCCGCTGAGCTAAATCTCCAGCCCAATTTTGCATCTAACACATCTGAGAGGAGAAGGCCTAGCATGGGAAAATCAGTAGAATAACAAGGTAACTATAAGAACTGCTTTGCTGCTTTTTAGCCAGGGACGGCAGCACAAGCCCACAACCTCAGCCTGGGAGGGCACAGGCAGGAGGATCACTGCACACCTGAGGCAGCCTGGGCTACCTAGAGAGTTCAAGACCAGCCTGAACAACACTGGCAAGATTCGGTCTCAATTAAAAATGACAGCTACTCCTTACTGTGGGCAACTAATTTCAATCTGTGCAAAACTGTAAACAAACAATCACCTTTAAGGTTCAAAACGCTTTAGTATAGGGGCTGGGGATTTAGCTCAGCGGCATAAGCACCTGCCTTGCAAGCAGGCGGTCGTGAGTTCGATCCCTGGTACCGATAAAAATGAAAAAGACAAAAAAAAAAAAAAACGCTTTAGTAACTCTTCTGTGTTTCTACAACTGACAACTGGAAGCTTGAAGGTAAGAGTCTAGCCTACTTATTTCACTGCAAGACAAACATTATTACTACCATGTTATACTTCCTTCTCAAAGAAAAAGAAAACACTAGATAAATAAAAAGGGTGACAAGCAAAAATCAGTTCGTTAGTAGGTGTTGGGAGGTTATAGTCTAGTCATTTGTCTATAAATTTGTATTATGTACTTCTTTGACATAATAATTGCTGTCTGTTTGGAATTTTTCAACTTTCATCTCTAAGCCCTTGGAGATCTCACTCTGCACACTCATCTTTGGGCATCAAGGCCACCCCTCACCCCAATCGTTACCACTCCCCCACATGCCAAAGACAGCCAAGCTCAAACCTGAGTCCTCCTCTCACCTCTGACCCCAGCTCTTGTCTAGAAACTCTCGGCTTGAAGTTTACTTCTGTGTTGTAAAAAACGAAAAATCAGCTTGTCTGTCTCATTTTTCCTTCCAATGTAGGCAAAATATGTGCTGTTAAAATAACATGTGCTGGGCTGGGGATATAGCTCAGCAGCATAAGTGCCTGCCTGGCAAGTGCAAGGTCATGAGTTCAATCCCCGGTACCAAAAAAACGTGTTCGGCACCTCTTACTTCAATGATACCTTGGCTGCCCACTAGGAAAAAGGGGGGTAAGTTGTATTAAAGCTTAGACTTTTTCCATGAAATCATTGAATAGAGGGCCCGGGATTTAGCTCAGCAGCATAGGTGCCTGCCTTGCAAGCACGAAGTTGTGAGTTCGATCCCAGATACCAAAAAAAAAAGAAATCAATGAATAGAAGAGGAAGGAGCCATAAAACGAGTTGCGAAGTAAACACCAGTAAGAGAAAACAAGAAGCCAAGCTTTACAATACTACTACTGTAGTTGTTTTCATCAAGTTAAACCACCAGGATAATTGTAACAACTTCAGCAGGGTTTAGGATTAAAACCCAAGACCTTCTCACTAAACTACATTCACAGCCACTTTCTGTTGTTGATTTGTTTTTGTTTTGTATTTTTGAGACAGGGACTTGCTATGTAGTTCATGCTGGCCCTGAATTCACTAATATAGTTTTCAGGTGATCCTCCTGCCTCAGCCTCCTGAGTGCTGGAATTAGAGGTGTACACTACCTCACCTGACTAAATTTGTATAGTTATAATAGTGATTAAGCTTTGACACTTAAAACTAGTCTTTAATCAGACCAAGTATTAAACAAAGATTTTATTATCAGCCTTGTAATAATAGGAAAAATTGATGGCAAAATATTCTAGCCTTCAATATTAGGAATTCTGCTCACTAAAATTTGAACTCTAAACTCACAATAGAAATATAAATTCTCAATCTACTACATCGATGAAACTTACTATGAGAGTGAATACTAGCTGAATATTTTTAATGTTTCCAAATTACAACTGTTAATGATCCTTTCATGTGAGGGATTATTGATATCTGGATAAGGTGGCCACATGCTTGAATCATAAAACACATTCATTAATAAAGTCTCATTGTTAGTAAGTTGGTATACAGCTAAGTATAAAAATAGAAGAATCATAGAACTGGTAATTTAAAAATGAAATTTTATATAACAATTTTGTCATTCCAATCAATTACGCTTCATTTAGGTTAATATTAGCATGTCTACTAGTCCTCAACATAGTTTGAATTGGTATACTCAAACTATCAGAATCAGCTGGCCCTGGTGGCACACACCTGTAATTCCAGCAATCAGGACGACTGCCGCACATTCAAGACCAGCGCAAGACCAACGAAGAAGAAAAAAAAAGAGAAGGAAGAGAAGAGGACAAGGAAGGAAGGAAAAAAGGAGAAAAAATATGGATTAGACATATTTCATATTCACTCAATAGCAAGAGGAACCAAAAGTAGAATTAATTTTTTAACAGGGAATGTATTCTATTAATGTCCATATTTTTAAGTTTTCAGGCTTTCGCACATCCCCGTGATGTGAAACAGATGAAGAGAAACAGCATCCCTTGGAAGTTTCACAGAAACTGTCTTTTCAACAATTTAGGGTGACAAAATAGACCAAATTACAACCACAACCTAGCATCAGCATCAGGATAAACAAACACACCAAAATTTGTATTTTTTTCAGCATCCTTTAATAAAGCCCACTCCTAAGTGAAAACAATCTGCTTTTTAATACCTGCTTTAATACACTGCTAATACCTTTATAAAAATTGTTCAGACCAAAGCTATTGAGGCCTTTGATTTCCAGCATGGAGGCAGGGAGGGGTCAATTATAACAAGACATTGTCTCAAATTTTTTTTAATCTAGGTGCATGAAAATTCAAAATATAAATTTTGCACTCAATGTTACAATTGCAACAGATACGCTCATAAAAAACACTGACTACCTTTGCTGGTAGAGTTCAGCCTGTGTGTATCATTCCCAGCACTCATGTCTGTAAAAACTTTCCGACTGTGTGAAAAAGACCGATTATATTAAACCTCAAGCCTGACTACTGACGCATTTACACCCTGAAAATTCAGTACAGAGACACGCGCCAGCGCCCCTGATTTCACGCCCGCTCCAAGAGAACTCAGCGTGCACAGGGGATGGACCGGCCGGTCCGCGGGTCCCCTCCCCGGCCGCAGGGTGCACGGAGACCGCTGTGCGCCAGGCCGCGCGCCGGGGCCAGGCCCCGCTTCCTGCCGACGACACCGGGCGCCTGGGGCACCGGCCCGGCCTGGCCCGGTCGCGGAGGCTCCTGCCGGGCCGCGCAGCCCCGACACCGAGCCGCGCCGCGGCCGCCACGTGCCCTCCTCGCGCGCGCCCGCGCCGCCCGCCCCGCCCCGCCGCGCAGGCGCCCGGCCGGCCCCAGCCCCGCGCTCGCGCCCCGCCGCCTCCGCCGCGCTTACCGGCGAGCTGGACCAGGCGTCGCGGCGCCCCGGCTCCCTGCGGCCGCCTCGCGGGCCTCTTCCTCCTCCTCCTCCTCCCCGGCCTCCGCGGTGGCCGCGGAAGCCACGGCCGCGACCTCGGCGGCCGGCTACGTCCCCGCCGCCGCCTCTCGCCACCGCCGCGGCGGCGCCGGCCCGGTCGCGGTCGCGGTCTCGATCCCCACCGGGCCGCCCGCGCCCGGGCCTCCGCCCGTGGCCGCCCCGAGCTCCTCGCTCCGCCTGCATCTGGCGCCGCCGGCCGTGCAGCGCTCGCGGGAGACGCCCGGGCCCACCGGAAGCGGTGGCGCAGGAGCCGGGAGCGACCGGCCGGGGCGGCGAGGTGCGGGCGGGGCGGGGCGGCGCGGGCGCGCGGTGGCGGCGGGCCGAGGGCCTGGGCCGCGGGAGCCGAAAGCGGCTGGGCCGGCCGATTAGGGCCTGGGCATGGGGGGCGGCAGGCGGCGTAAAGTAAAAGCGCTGTCGTGCAGCCTGGGCTTTTGTTTGTGTTTTTTCCTCTGCAGTACTGGAGGTGGAACCCAGGCGCAGTGTAACCCTCTGAGCTAAGTCCCACACCCTCCTCACCTCGAGAAGGGTCTCTACACTCCCAGCCTGACCATTACCTCGTGATCCTCCTGTCTCTGGAGTAGCTGGGATGACAGACCTGTGCCACTGTGTCCAGCTACGAGTTTATGTTTAGAAAAATGTCAAACGTGTTTGAATCAGAAAAGGGTTATACAAATTTATACCAAAATGTTGACGCGGGTTAACTGTGTTGAGACTTCCAATGAGTTATTTTTCTTCTGGTTAATCACCTACTTGTCAGGAATGCGCATGTAAGTTGCATTGGAAACTGAAGCCAGCCTCTGGAGGAGGTAGGGATATAGGAACCAAGTGCTGGGTGCAGACTGTGTATAGTGGGAGCAGACTAGTCTGATAGAAGCTGCTGTAGCTCACGCTAAGCACAGGAGCACTTCTCTCCGCATGCTGATAACAGATGCTGTTAGTCTTACTTTGCAAAGGAGGTGAAGGTCATAGAGAGTTACATCGCCTGCCTAAAGACTAAATAGTGATGGGCCTGGCGTTCTACCTTGGAATGGCTCCAAGAAAGGAAGCAAAACAGCTGCACACATAATTTGGGAGCCACTTTAAATGTCTTACAGCGTGAAAATAATGAAAGCAGGAGCTAAAAGTCTAGCAAAAGAGGTTATTCTTCCCAGTCCCTTCTGGCCCTTTCTTATATCCTTATGTAGTTAGTAAGTGTTCATTGCTTCTGTTTTCACGGGCAGGGATAGTGCTATGTCTTGAATGAAAGTCTGTCCTGAAGTGGCTCACTCCACAGGAAGATAATCCTATAAACAAATATTTATAGAGTACAGTGTGCTGAGTTCAGTGAGGGCTTCAAGGTCAAGACCCAGTGAAGTACACCCAAGGTTGCATGAACCAAAGCCTGATGGCTGTGTGAGAGTTGACCTGGTTGGTAAAGAGGGGCTGGGGTGGCCTTTCTAGACTGGGAATCCCAGAAAGGATTGACAACTAAATAGAACTTTTTTATGGGGGATCAAACTCACGACCACGCGATTGCAAGGCAGGCACTTATGCCGCTAAGCTAAATCCCCAGACCAAGTAAAACATTTTTTAGACGGTTGCAGTCCACACAATCTCTCCCTCAGGCTGGCTGAACACTTCAGATGCACCAGATTCATCCCTAAGCACTTTTCATATGTCTCATACCTTCTTTCACCTGAACCTCACAGCAGCTCTGAAAGGTAGTGTTATCCCTGTTTAGAGATCAGGCATCTAAGTAGACACTAAACGACTTAAGATCACACAGTTAATGAATAATGAATAATTGGAGACTGGAAAGTCTGGCCTCAAAGTCTACACCCTTTACCACTACACTCAGGGAATCATTCCGTAGAGGAAGATTAAAATTCTAAGCAGAGACAGTAGGAAACCACTAAAATAATCCCTGCTACTCTGAGCTGTTGACCATTTTTATTTCATAGAGAAATAGAAGTAATCAGAAAAACTTTTCTACCATTACAGCAACTCTCGGCATACCTGTGTCTGCACTAACCCACTGCCTCCTTCCAGTTACTACAGTAGGGTCCTGGCTCCAGCACAAGGCTAACATTTCTCCTATTGCAACTATTTTTTATCCCTGCTCACCTGCCTGGGTCCATCTCACCAGCAACTTTCTGCACTCTCTCCTTACACTCCAGTTTTTACCTTTTGATGGCTGGTTCACATTAGCATATATATTAGCTTTCCTATTGCTGGGACAGAAAATACCAGACCCCCACAATGTAAAGGAGGAGAGGTTTACCTTGGCTCACTATTTGAGAAGATTCAAGTCAGCTGACTGCACAGCATAAACATCATGGCAAAAGGGACTTAGCTTATGATGCTGGGAAGCAGACCAAGGGAACAGTGCCAGAGAGAAAGGGCCAAGAGCTTGATTTACACCTCAGGCCAGGTCTCCGTGACCCACCTAGACATCCCCAAAATGTGTTCCCCCAATTCTGAGTGGATCCCAAAGCCAATAAAGTTGTCACTATACCCTAGTTGCCACTTCCTATCCTTTGTCAACTTTATACCCACATGAACCTGCTTAAACCATACCTAACCTCCAAATAAAGACAGCAGCAACTTAATAATTTCACTTTACATCATACAGCTATCCTCTGTACAGCTGGCAACACGACAGCCCCTTCCCTCAAAGTCTCAACAATTCCAGTACTTTTCAGATGTCTGAATCAAAGCCTGAAACTCAAAGCAAACTCCTACCTGTGAGACTCTGTAAAAAATAAAAACAAGTTATAAAACCCCAAGGTACAATGGCAGAATGACATTCCCATTCTAAAAGCGGGGAATAGGAGGATAGAGAATAGCAAAATCCACCAGGGCAAACAGCAAGTCCTATAACTCCCTTAACGGCATCAAGAGAACGTAGTGGTGAAATGTGAGTGCCATAGGCCCCACTGCTAAGGCCTTGTCAGTTGCAGTCCACACAATCTCCCCCCTCAGGCTGACACCACTCACAGCCTGCAGATTTGCTCAGTTGACTGTCTATGTGCCTAGCAACCCCAGCATCCTAAGGTGTCGACTGTACCTTTGGCATCATTCCCACAGCTTCACTCACTGCCTGCTCAGGAGGCAGTTTCCTGACTTCCCAGGCATTTCTTTGAAATCTGCAATGGAAGCCTTTCAGATTCCACAATTCTTGCATTCTACCTGCCAGCAAAACCAACATTACATGTATAATGGAAGGGTCTGTTGCCAGCAGAAGCAACAGCCAGACCCCCTTGGATCATGGCTGCGGTAGCTTCTTAGTGTTCAGATGGCTGAGCACAAAAAAGTGAATTCCAGGAAACTACAAAACAGTAGGGACTAGGACCTATCCTCTCCAATGAAAAGTTTATACTTTGGCACCCTTGAGTCTATGATAGATGATGTCTTTCTGATTCCTGAGATCCCCTCAAAACATCTTCCTTCTTATATTCTAATATGAAGTAATTGGGTGTTTGTTTGTTTGTTTGTTTGTTTTTGAGGGGTTTTTTTTTTTGTACTAAGGATCAAACTTAGGACCTTGTACTTACCAGGCAGGAGCTTGTGCCACTGAGCTAAATCCCTGGCACTTGGTTTCTTTTTAAAGCTGTTACTCTTTTCAGTAACCGTACATCTTTTGGCCTCAACTTTATTTCCTTTTGAGCCAAAATTTATGTTTTTCTGCTCTGCCATTTGCCTCCAGTTCTCACTATAAACCTGGTTGAAAGCAGCCAGAAGTACCCATACTAAGGACCAAACGTTAGGTTCTCTTCAAATTTACTCTGCCAGATAAGTCCATTGCCTTTCATCTCAGACCCTGGAAAAATCTCAGGACATGGACAGAATGTAGACAAATTTTTTTGCCAGAGTATAACATACATAGCTCTAGTCCAACTGCCAATGGAGTCCTTACTCCCGATGAAATCTTTTAAGGTTGGTCTTTACTCTTAGCATTCCTATTAGCATTATAGTTCTTTGAGCTCTGGACGGACTCACCTATCAAGTTCTGCTTACAACATTTTAGGGCTTCTCAAGCCTGCATCTCCAAACTTTTCCAAACTCTTCCCACAGACCAGTTCCAAGGACTTTGGGGCATCCTGGTGAGGGTCATGGCAACAGTTTCACTCCTAGGACAATTTTATATTAGAGTCTCCATTACTGGAACACAATACTCAACACCTACAACTTAAAGAAGGAGCAGTTCGGTTTGGCTTAAGACTTCACAGGATTCAGTCCATGGTCAGCTGCTCCAGTGCAGAAACATCATGGTAGAAGGGTGCGGTACAGCAAAGCTGCTTGGTTCATGGTGGCTGAGAAGAGTGCCAGAGAAGAAGGGGCGAAGGGTGAGATATTGACCCCAACCTCATACCTCAGTGACCCAGGCTACCCAAATGTGTGCTCCACCCTTTGGATGGACGTGTGCTCCAGCACCTTTGGTCAAATCCCAAAGTCAATCAAGTTAACATTCCCAACTCATTGCCATAGCATAAAAACATGCAGCATTCCACGTGCAGCTTCTGCTCCATTTCTACAGAAGTATTCTGTAGTACTGTTTATACTTCTCCTCTCAGTCATCTACTTCACAAGGCTTTTGTGTGCACTATCTCACCAAACTGATAAAGATTCACTATGTTCTCCATGTAGCTAAATCCAGTGATCTGGCCTCAGTCCTAAACTTATCAACCATAACTGTTACAGTTAACCACTTCTTCTTCTTCTCCAGACCTTTTTATTTTTATTGCTTTCAGAGCAACATGCTATTCTTGGGAATCCAAAGGGTAATATATAATCCTCGCCCTAAACTCTGCTGGGACTGCTTGGATAATAGTCAGGGACTTCTGGGCTTTTAGACTATCCCGTAAATCTACTTGTGGCAGTGCTTCCTAGACTTTTTCACATCATGGCACAGGTAGAAAATGATAACATTTGCCCAATATTCTGAAAAAATAAAACTGTTCCCAGTGGAAAGGATCCTCTTAAACCCCCCAAAGTACTGAGGGATGCAGGACATATACTGAATGGCCCCAGGGTATGCCTGCATGTAAAAAAGCAACCTCACGTGTTTAATGTCCTCAGTAATAGACCTTTGTCACATAAATTAGATCTTAAAGGCTCAACTTTATTTCTGCATTTTCTGAGAACTAAAAGATGAACTCCTTCAGTTGCAGGACTACTGTCTCTTCCATAAGCTCTCTCTAGAACACTGGTGAATGCAGGATGTTTTAAAAGCATGTCACATTAGAACCCTGCTCACATTAAACCCTGTTATCACTTTGGAGACACTGAAGAATCGTGTGTGTGTGTGTGTGTGTGTGTGTGTGTGTGTGTGTGTAGAACCCAAGGCCTTCACACACAGTTCCATCTCCAGCTTTTCATATTTTATTTTGAGACAGGGGCTTGCTAAGTCACCCAGGCGGAATGGGAACTTGCAATCCTGCTTCAAAATTCCAGAAAGCTAGGAGTACAGGTATGTGGTACCACTTGGGGCTAAGAAATCGTCTCTTAATCACCATATACCTTTGGGTAGCATTTCTACTCTAGCAATCAAACGAGTTTAGATATGTGCTATTTTAAAATAGTCACCAAGGTCTGGGAATGTGGCTCAGTGATGGAG